TATTATCAATGGTTTAAAACCCAGTTATTAATTTCTCTTAATTTGTGGTTCCCTTAACTGTTTATAAAATATTTTAATAAAGATTTTTTTGTACATTTTAAAGTTGAGTAGAAAAGAATTAGAAAGCACTTGTATCTAATCAAAGCCTAGTGCATATATATGGAACGAAAATTGGTTACAGAACTGTGGTGATAAGTAAGTTATAAGTGACTATGACAGGTAAAGTAGAAGAGCTTCCTGGTGATCTTAGTCCTAGTGCAGGCTTTCCTGAAGAATAAAGCGATCACACTGTAATGGCTGACCCAGTCCTTTCGGCCATGTGGCAGGTGTTTCAGATTGCTGCTCAACTTGGTTGTTGGTGACATTGACAAAATGATTGACTGGGGATCTAGAAGGAAGGACACATAAACACAATCAGAAAAAATTCATGGAATATCTGAGCTAGATTCAGTGACAGATATGTCCCATTCTCCTTTTTAGCCTGATTATAATAAATTGTGGAAGTAATTAAAACAATCTTGGACACTTCCCACCCTCCACCCATACACACAAATCCATTCTGCTAAGCAAAAATCTGTTCAGTTACTGTAAGCTTTGCTTTCCTGATTCAGCCTGATGGCCAGCTTGATAGCCTGTGTTTTCCTCATACACAGTGTGTACGGACTACTTAAGGAAGAGGTTTGAAAGGAGGCAAGAGCTAGACTGAATGAGTTTTAGTCAACAAATTTCTGTTTTCTGTTAGTCCTAAACATACGTATATGGCCTTTCTAAAAGGAATGTACCCATCAATACTACAAATATGTTTTGCTAGTATACTTGTATATCAAGTCCTCTAAATTTGGGGAAGTATTTTAATGTGGAGTATATTAAAGATGAAACTACTAAGGTAGTAAGTTAAATTCTCTCCCGTTGTGTAAAGAACTCTCCTGATTTTGTTTACCTGGTGAGCCACTCAGCTGACTGACTTGGATATGTACTGCTGTGGACTCTTGATCAGTGTATTGGTTCCTGTGTATCTGTAATGAAACTCGGCACCTCTCCTCACTCTTAAATCAGCCTTCCTGACCACATCAACAAATTTCTTCTTGTTTTCTGTCTATTAAGCACATCTTTGTGCAAATAAGCTGTTCTGTGGATTAATTCTCCTGACTGATAAAATTNACATATTTCATAACTGTATTAATTGATTTAGAAAAATGTAACTTTTTACATGAGAAACATTAATGATTATTAAGACACTACATATGTGTAAAAAATAAATATTTTGAGATATTTTCTTTCATTTTTATAGGAAATAGTTGACAAAGAGGGACATAGCAAAGTATTGAGTTTTACGATTCCATCTTTATCTAAACCATCTGTATATCATGAAGTAAGTGACATTTTATCAAAGTAAGTTTAATGTTTCTCAGATTTGAAGTTGCTATAAATTTAGTGTGGTTATTGAGGCAAAAAATATTGATCAATTTATTAGAACTTTAAAAAGTATAAAACACCACACAAAGTATTTGAAATTCCTAAGGTGAAATGAGAAATCAAAATCATTAAACTTGAAACTAAAATCTAGTTGTAAGAGATCTGAAAGTATTAATTTTGAAATATTATTCTCTCCTTCTGATGGATAAGACTATTTTTTTGTAGCAATTATTTATTTCCATGGTAGAATTTTTGAAGTTAAATATTTTTTTTATTTCTATTTGTGGTTTGGTTGTTAATTATTTATTAAATCTTTGAGCAGAAAATTTAGTAGGCAGTGTGCATATTTCTTTTTTTACAGAAAAATTGGTAAAATTTATTCACAATGCAGAAGTTGAGATGAGTAAAACAGCTGTCAGTTGGCATCTTGCCTCTGAGTTTGATTTATAAAAATATCAGTGAGCTCAATTTTCTGTATTTTGCTATTTTATTTGGGGAATGATAGTCTTTTTTATAAATATAAAACTTCAGACTTTGATATCATTTGAATATTTTTAAGATATGTGATGTTCAAGATATGTGATGCAATCATTCTTAGTGGTGTATGTATGCTAAGTATATTTTCAACAGAATTTTTTTTTCTTCTTCTTCTTCATTCAAATGTCTTTTCTTTAGCCTTCCAGCATTGGGTCCATGGCTCTGACCGAGAGTGCACTATCCCAGCATGGTTTGTCAAAAGTTGTGTACAGTGGACCACATCCTCAAAGGGAGATGCTGACAGCACAGAACAGGTATACTGTGGAGACATAACCTACTATCCTAGCACATTGATTTTAAAAAAGTATTTCAGTAGATTTATAAATAATGTTTAATGAGTAGTGTGTAACAATTTTTAAAAATACTGAGTCATTTTATACAAGAGAAAAGCACACCTTCCCAGTTTGTCACTTATACTTTGCTTTAGA